CGACATACCGACATACCGACATACCGACATACAGACATACCGACATACCGACATACCGACATACCGACATACCGACATACCGACATACCGACATACCGACATACCGACAAACACCCAAACCGACAAACCGACAAGTTTCTGCTTTATAGATGAGAGAGATGCTCATACGCTGATTGAATATAACTACACCTTTATTTAACTTCTTCAGCTTTATATTTGTATCTCGTATCAATCTCGTATGTATGCCTCTCATAAGCCATATCCTCCATGAGTTGTGCCTTTCGTATCTATGATAACTCTTTCGTATGTATGTATCTGTTACGTTCTTATGGTTTAATTACCCAAGTTTGAGGTTTTCTCTCCTTGACGCAATAAAGCTCTGGTATTCGATCGCTGTAGTTGTGGCAAGACTATAGTGACGAAGAACTTAAGCGACTATACTAGATATAACGGCTATAATATCGGTATAGTTAATATATTCCTAGTGGCGCGGCTTTGTTCATAATAATTAAATAAATATTCGCCTACGGCTGCCGCATCCGTAGGCTCCTTGATGACCTGGTTGACCCACCTCGAAAACGTCATCACCGCTGCCGGACGCCGACCTGATCCCAAGATCCTTGATGTCAAGTGCCAAAACCAAAGGATACCGCCTAAGTCCCGTCATTTCTCGGACTCTTCAACCATTATGAAGTGTTCGCTCCAGAGACGCGTCAGCTTCGTGCACCGTTCGACTCACTGCTCAGAGAGGATGCTCCGTTTGAGACTCCAAATGAGACGCTGCTTTCGAACGCGCCAAGAAAGTGTTTGCTCCAGACCTGCTCCTGACTCACTACATACAACCCAAGTCTGCCTCTCGTCGTGAGGTCGACGCTTCAGACCATGGAATAGGAGCGGTCATCTCCCATCAAAATCCGAATGGATCAGAAAAACCCACCTAGCAGGCTAGCCGTTCTCTCAGCGTCACGGAGAGTAAAGAGGTCAGGCAGAAAAGGAAGGATTTGCACGTATCTACGCCGTCCGCAAGTTTCTTAGCTACATCTATGGACGCCACTTCACCTTTTCCGCGGACCACAAGCCACTCTTGGCCATGTTTGATCGAAGAACGAGGTCCCTGTATACCCAGCGAACCGCCTACAACGCTGGAGATCACCCGCCTTTTCCTACAATACGACAGTATCAACCGTCTACCGCTCACTGCTGAAAATGTACCTCTGGGGATGACTGCCAACATTGAGTCCTCGACCACGTCGTCCACAACAATTGGCCGAAGAAGCCATCACACCCCGTTGCCAATTATGCCCATCTACGCAACGACTTTTCAATGCAACAAGGGTGCCTACTTTTCGGGAGTCGCAGCATCATCCCGTCTGCACTTGCGCCGATTAGCAGGATAGTGCAAAGTCACCCGTCAGGACACACTCTGTTGGTGTTCTCGCCCGGATGGGCCATGGTGCCGAGCCCATATCGATTTCGATGGCCCTAATAAGGGAGTTTCTTCTTTGGTGATCAGCGACGCTTTCTCCAAATGGTGCAATATCATCCCGATGACATCCACCACCAGTACTGCAACGCTAAGTGAACACCGGCCTCCTTTCGCACAATTCGGACATCCTCAGACCATCGTACCAGATAAACTGTATTCACCTCTGCGGTATTCCGCCGAAACATTGGAATCATGCACGTTCGATTTCCGTTGTTTTGGGAGAACAACGGAACTTGAACGTGGAATCTATTACAAGATAAAGATAATTCGGAACCCAGCCTCCAGGCAGAGTAGTAGCTGAAGAACTACTGAATATTCCACTGAAGAGGCTTTTCCCGTCAACCGGATGACAGTGTGAATTGGGCGACACAGGGGCGATGGGATGATCAATACAACACCTTAGCAAAATAATGAGATCAGTAGAAGTGATTTACCTCAACATGCCTTCCTCTAGAGGTGGCATCCCTGCCACTTCAGCCTAATACAAACTGCTTATGGAACAACTTCATGCGGCAGCTCGTACTATAAGAGAGCAAGGAGGTCTCAGAGCCGATGCGCTGTCCACAATCATACTTCCGCTCAAAGGCATCCTCCACCCAAAAATTTAGCTACAGGCGAGCTTCAACTCTAGCTGCCACAGAGGTCAACCTAGATGAGGGACTCGTCATATGGAACTTCGTCATCTCTAGACGCCTACGACAGAATAGTTCATAAGCCTGAGTGTCCAAAAGCTGTATCGTTTATGGTGGCCATGCACATATGTAGGTGCTCAGCCAGTCCGGTGTATATTTACTATCGACCATAACCAGCTGGAGGTACGGTAAAGTCATGAAATACGATGGCTCTTTGAAATTATCAAAAAATCAACATTTGGATCAAATCAATTATCTCGACCTCCTATAACTTGTTATCCCAAACTCATGGCAAACTGGAGCACTACGGAGATCGGGGCACTGTTTTACGAAGTCGTATCTTAATGAACAGTGCGAGTTGGTACTAGTTGTTCTGCTGAGTTCTCTGTACTAGCGGGGCCCTCCAGGTGGTCTAGAGGAGTACTATCACCTTGACTGTTCTTGTTTGCACCATCGAGCTACCCCAAATAACTGTGAATGTTCAAATAAAGTAGTCATACGAAGAGGAATGGTGTTGTCGTTTG